CCCCCCCCAAGATTTTGCAGATTTAACATTAGATCTGGACTAACATCCTTTTCTTTTTCCTTTCCCTTCACTGCAGCCTGACAATGAAATCTCTTCAGAATGTAACCACGTAAGTATTGCCTCATTTTCTTTCATTTGTAACTAGCTATTATATTTCTTCTCCCCAAGGCACTAAGGGGCTAATGTGATTATGGGTAATGGAAGAAAACGTGTTCCCTTTTAATCCCCATATAATCTGAGTTTTTCTGATAGGGAATCTCACTTCTCTACTCTCAGCAGCAAAGGGAGAAACTCACTGAGCTTAATGAAATGGCACAAAGTTCATTAAATTCTACTTTTATTGCTTTGATATGGGGAAGAATGGGTCAGCTAAATACTTTTTTGCCCTATACCCTTGCTCTGTGTGGCATTACATGCAGGATGAATGAGATTAGCAAAAAGGCCCTGTTGAAAGAGCCAGAGATGCAAATGCAGCATAAAATAAATGCTTAGAGGTTACTAGATAACCCGAATAGTTTCACTGTTAAACAAAACTCAGTAGGTTTTACTGATCTAGTTTGTGTCACAACCCAGTGATTTTTTTGGTGCCTCGGCACGATGGAATTTTCCCACCACATGAGAGCCTCTTGCACAGCAAAGGTGTTTTGTTGCAACAGAAAAACCTCGGTGCAAGAGAGTTCCCGCCATTTGAATGCAAATTTGTGTCCCGCTATTGGCCAGTTCTAAATTATTCCTATGTGGCGGCTAGTAATTGGCTTGCTAGCCGTTTAAAATTTCGTGCGACTTCCGCCCAAGTCGGAGAACTTTGAGCACGCTGCAGAGTGCCTCTAAAGAGATCTGACTTGCGGCTGAGCTGATCGATAGACTGATTACCTATCGATTCTTCTCCCCGTCGCCGAGCTCAATCCTCGACGTACCCTTTCCCCGCCGGCTTAATTTGTGGACGGATTAGCTGGCCTGAGCCTTGCCAGCTGGAACAACTCGCATAGTTGTTCAAACGACCGGACTGTCTGTGTCGCGGCTACAAGCGGCGTAAGTAAAGTTTTTGCAACCATTAAGCTTTGTCTGCCTCTCCATTCACCAGCCCGCCCAGCGAACGAGTAATTTCTAAAATCACCTCGAGTTGGCTCCGGCCGTCCGAGACAGTTTGCATTGGTGAAATCGGTGAGATCGAATAGCTTGTAAAATAGTACAGCTGTTGTTATTGAACAGTTGTTTTTGACTTCCTGAAACATCGGGTCCAGATAAGGATGATTCAAGTGTCCTGAAAGAACCATGTGGTGAACTGACGCTTCCTTTGTGAAATAGGAATGTTCCTCAAAGGCCTATTGGTGTTATCCCTCAGGTGTATTCTGAAAGAAAGTGCAAGCTGGAAATTCTAAGCATACAGACTTGTGAGGCCAAGACCTCAGATCCATCAGTTTAAAAACCTAAGATACTTAACCACCCCAAGCCACCCCCAAGTCTCCCCAGAAATCAAAGGAGTCGTGCCTTAGTTTGTCTGAATTGGAACTGCAGTCTAGTTTGGATCTACCGCTTTGTCAGCCTTAAAATACTTAATTGTTTTACGAATGCAGAGAAGAGGGTATGGTTCCAAGAGGAGTCCTCATTAGGGCCCAGTACATAGGAGCATGGGTGAGGGCACCATAGTTTGTGTGTGTGCACATGCACAAGAGTCCATCTCACCCTTTCCAAAAAGTCCTCTCATCTTTGTTTCACTTTTTTGAGTGCTGGCAAAGAAAAGACTTTTGTGGGACTGCTCTGCAAGAGTTGCTGCCATCACCTGAAAGTTCTGTGTGGGTCATAACACATTTTCTGCCTCATTTTTAACACATGATGTGTCTCTCTCTCTTTCTTGGTTCATGTATCAAATGGGTCTCTCTCTTGGGTCATGCATCAAAGGATAGTAAGTGTGATAGAGTATGGGCTTGACCACTGAATATCGATTTAATTAGATGTTACCAAAATAGCATTTGAAATAACAACATTTATGTGTTTTAGGCTGTTTTATAAAAAAAATATTTTTTTATGTTCATTCAAAGGCGCAGTGGGATCTAATCTTAACAGTCACACTTCTTGTTGTGTTAGATGTGCATGGCAGGAGGCATTATTGTGGAAATAGAGATCAGATCCCAATTCCATTCTCTTGCTGGTGCAGTGGGGGAGCCATGGTTGGGAGTGCCAGGGACCATGATCCTGGGCTCCCACTGCAGGTAGCAAGCAGGTAGCTATCAACAGGTAGCAAGCAGTGTGCCCATGCCTGTGTGCACCAGCAAGCTGATTTACGCTCCCAGCCCCCTGAGTTCACCAGCCCCACATTCTGTTTTAAGGTGCAGTGACAACCAGCTGCAAAATTATTACTCATACTTTGTATTATAATTTTGTGGCTTATTCCCTATTTTATTGCACCATAATTCCATGAACACGTGGCTGGGTTATTGCTATGCTGTACTGCTGCTGTTATTAGTGTAATGTCTGTCGGGGGCCTTAGACTTTGTAATTTTAAGAGAAATACAGCAGTGGTTCCTATGACTTCTGTATGGACCCAGACTAGCAGTTGTCTGTGATAATTATTGGACTCTTGTATTCATGTTTCTTTTTAAATTGGCTTCCTGCT